CTGCGCAGGTATTGTATCTTCTCCGTGTGAGACGTGGCGGGGATTGAATAAATTCTCCGCATTCTTAACTGCATGAAATGTAGTTGTTGCTTTGCATTCTTGCTTAAAACTGTTGCATCTATTTGCGAATACTTGCTTCATTACAGCTTGCTGCATTTGCACGATCATTGGGTTACCTTCGGCTTCTTGCATATCATTTGCATTTTGCCCCCTACCTGCGAGCATGCCTGCGGGCACATCTCTATTTATCTTGTATGTGGCTAGGTTCGAGCATGCTTTTGGTCTTGTATTGACCTGCCTTGGGACTATTTTGGTTGCCCTTGGCCCTTTGGGGCTTGCTTTGCATGACCATGGTTTAAGTCAAATTGCTAGTTTCAAGCTTTGAGCTCTCTTGCATGCCATACTTGCATTGTTTGGTTGATTTGGCATCATTCCGTGCATCATTTCAGAGCATGTAGTGTTGTCATTGTAGACACCCCATTTTTAACTGACCTTAAGACTCAGACGTCACCAATTGAGCACTTGGTGATATTGCATAATGTGCTCGTTCAGAAGTTTCAGAGTCTTGGCTGCGAGCCCTGCCTCCAGACTTCCGAACCCTCTTCTGTGCCTTGCCTCGGTTTGCGAACCAGACTCGGTTTTCTCTATTTCTTTTCCTGAGGGGAGGGAGAGGTCTTGTAGACCATCTCTCAGTGGCCGTGGACTACATTTTGTGGCCGTAGGCCATTTCTCCCATTTCGGAGCCCGGTTTCCGGTTTTTCGGGACCGTTGGCCGTGTGCCTCGGTTTGGGACCGCTTAACCATCTCCGTTTGCTCTAAATTTTGGCATACATATTATTTTCTCCCTTTCAAGGGACACTGGGGCCTGAGAAACCCACTTCGTGGCCGAACGCCACTTTCGGTGCTTAACAAGCAATTTTCGGGACCTCTAACTGCGTGTTTCGGCCCCCGAGCATTCGTTTTGCATCAGTTTTCGTTCATTTTTGGCAGGTGCCTCTGTTTTATCACCAGGAAGGTCACTGGAGGGTGGGAGGCCAGCAATTATCTCCCATTAATTTTTCTTTCCATTTTTGCCCCTCCTCTTCAAATGCAATGTTGAACACCCTGGAGTCACTGTTGCCAACCCCAAACCACATATATGTGATCTACACACATGGGAGGACACCAAAAGTTGGTGGGAGGCTAGTAATTTTGCCGAAAAGCCAACTTCTTTTTGGTCAAAAGTGGTTCAGCATGAATCCGGGAAGGAGAAAAAGCTGCGCGGCTTCACCGAAACGGGCGTAACTCTTTGCACAAGAGGAATTAAGATATGAGGCCACCACCATTGGAAAGCTTACTTCCGGGGCTTCATTTTGCACTCAAGAATCTCCCAAGTCCAAGTCCGGGGGGGGGGGAGATGTGGTTGGTTGAAGTCCGCTTGGATTGAATCTGCGCGGCTTCACGGAAAAGGGCATAACTTTTTCTACAGGAGGAATTTTAATGCAAGGTTTGCGCCATTGGAAAGCTAACTTCTGGGGCTTCATCCTAGGGGGTGGCCGGCCATTTTTTTTCTTTGACGTAGCCGGCCGGCCACTTTTTCTGGCCGGCCGGCCACTTACCTGGTGGATGACCTTTTTCTCCCTTTTAAACTGGCCGGCCGGCTTCCTCACTGTGTGTGCTTTACAGCTGTATAGCTGTTTCCTCCAGAAAAGATCTCAATCCGGGGGATATTTCTTAGGGGAAAGCCTTGGTCCTTTTCCCCCACCATTCCCTTCCATGCTCCCTCTCCTTTTGGTCCTTATAACCAGCTGCAAGCATTGTTCTTAGGGGTTAGAAAAACTCTCCTTCAAAGCTCCATAGCCAACTCCATCTTCTTCCATCTCAATTCTTCAAAAAACCCTAACTCCCTAATCACCATTCCTTCTACACCACCAAGCTCTACCACCACCATCTCATTTCCAGCAACAAGGAAGAATTCTTGAAGGCTAGAGAAGCTGCAAATCCATCCAAAAAGCAACAAAAGTTTGAATCTTCAAGGGTAAGTAACACTTTTAACCTTTTGAACCTTTTTCTTGATCTATTTCTAAACCCCACTTATTTTTGGTTTCAAGCTCCGACCCTAACTGAAAAGGGCCATATTTTGATCTCATCTTCACTTCTCATTAAGGGCTCAACCCTGTTTGAGCCCTCCATAATATACTTGCTTCATTGATCATCTTGTATGTCATGACTTTGCATGCTATTTTTGACCCATGAGCAATTTATTTTCGAGCATGTTGTAAACTGATATAAGGCTTATTTTGAGCCCCTCTTCAACATTGGAGAAGGGCTCAACATTGTTTGGTGCTTCCATGTGTCACTTGTAGTTATATCCCCTATTTGGCCCCATTTTTGCATAAATTGTGGGACTGTCTAGCTCCCTCTTTGTTTCTGTTTTTGGACCTTGGTCCGAACTGAAAGTGGTCTTATTTTGGCCTATACGTCATGTTTCATTCACACTTTTTTTCTGTTTGGTGAATATTTAACATACTTCATGTTATAGCACCTTTTGAGCCTTGTTTTGCATCACTTTTTTAGCATATTTGTATACTGATTTTGAGGCTTCCATATACTGTAAATGTTCATATTTTTGTCCATCTTCAGTGTTGTAGAAGGAATTTTTTCAGTTTGGGTTTTGCTTATACCACTTGCTTCATTACCCCTCTTTTGACCCCTATTCTTGCATGCCTTTTTTCCCTTACCTTTGCTTTTGCTTCATTACTCCTCTTTTGGCCCCTATTCTTGCATGTTATTTTTACCATAACTATGCTTGCTGTTTGGCCTTGTTTATAACTGTGAAAGTGCATCTTTTGGGACTGTCTAGCTTCTGTCTTTGCATTGCATGTCCGTGTTGTGCATGTTTGGCATAGCTATAGGCCATTTCGGGTGCCTAATGTTGCATTTCGGGACATTTCCTTGCATTTGGTATCATTTCGCTTCATTTCGGGACTGTTTTCCCCATATTTTGTTGCTGAAATTCCATTGGCATGCTTGCATATCATTTTTACCATGTCTCATTACATTTTGCCATCGCCTCGGTTTGCGTGCCCGTGTGCACGCATTTCGAGGCACTTCATATTCTGCCATCGGCATCCGATGTGAGCGTGGCTGAGGCTCACTCATGTTGGTATAAGCCGATTTGTCATTTCCATGTCATTTCATCGCATTCTGCCATCGCCTCGGTTTGCGTGCCTGTGTGCACGCATTTCGAGGCACTACTTTTTTATCCGCCGGCATCCTATGTGAGTGTGGCTGAGGCTCACTCATGTTGGTATAAGCCCATTTGTCATTTCATATCATTTTACCATCGCCTCGGTTTGTGTGTCCGGCCTTGGTTTGCGTGCCCGTGTGCACGCATTTCGAGGCACTTCATTTTTATCCGCCGGCGTCCTATGTGAGTGTGGCTGAGGCTCACTCATGTTGGTATAAGCCCATATCACGTTTTCATATCATTTCATCACATTTTGCCACCGCCTCGGTTTGCGTGCCCGTGTGCGTGCATTTCGAGGAACTTCATCTTTATCCGTCGGCATCCTATGTGGGTGTGGCTGAGGCTCACTCATGTTGGTATAAGCCCATATCATGTTTCCATGTCATTTGCGTTGCGTATGCCATTGTCTCGGTTTGCGTGCCTGTGTGCACGCATTTCGAGACATCTCATTATCATTGCACTGCGTATGCCATCGCCTCGGTTTGCGTGCCCGTGTGCACGCATTTCGAGACATCTTATTTTCATTGCACTGTGTATACCATCGCCTCGGTTTGCGTGCCCGCGCGCACGCATTTCAAGGCATCTCATTTTCATAACATTCTGTGGCCTCTTATGTGAGTGTGGCTGAGGCTCTCTCCTGTTAGTATAAGTCCATGTTGCATTCTGTATGCCATTTTAGCCCTATTGCATTGCATATATCATCGCCTCGGTTTGCGTGCCCGTGTGCACGCATTTCGAGGCACTTCGTTTTCATCCATCGGCCTCTTATGTGAGTGTGGCTGAGGCTCTCTCATGTTAGTATAAGTCCATGTTGCATTTTTCATGCATTTACATTGCATATGCCATTGCCTCGGTTTGCGTGCCCGTGTGCACGCATTTCGAGGCACTTCGTTTTCATCCATCGGCCTCTTATGTGAGTGTGGCTGAGGCTCTCTCATGTTAGTATAAGTCCATGTTGCATTTTCCATGCCGTTGCATTGCGTATGCCATTGCCTACCGAGTCAGGGTTTCCTAAATTTCCCAAAATAAAATATTTAGGTGGCGACTCTGTATCTGGCAAAGCAGTCCATGTTTGGCACTTCTTTCAAAAATCTGTTTTTTTCTCAAAACGATTTGCCGGATTTGGACTCTTTGGTTCAGACTTGGAACCGTGACTAACAAAAGTCGAGTCCGAGCTGTAGCGAGGTCCCCCGCGGGCCTGTCTACAATAACCCACCCCGACGGAGCAAGAACAGAGAAATGAAATGAAGCGGCGAGGCAACGGAGAGGCGAGGTGAGGCGACGGTACTGGGTCTCGATTCGGGTCTGTGAAGCAAATTTAGCTTTGATTTTGATCCTGGGTGTAACCCAGAAATTCATGTATGAAACTGTACATGTGAGAGATGGACTAAACCGTCGAACGTTTTCGGAATGCACGGAAGGTTTTCGAGTTCATGCGTTTCTGAAGATACACAGATGAAATACTTGATAAATATGAAAATACTTGGTGAAGATTTTTTCTATGTGACGAGCATGTGTGTGTGTGTGTGTGTGTGTGTGTGTGTTAGGTTAAGCTGCTTGAACAGGTATAGAAGGATCCAAAAGGGGAAATGGGTCTGAACTTTGAAAAAAAGGAAGAAGATCGGCTTTGGCTTCACCTGGTAAAAAACACAAATTAGATCTACCGAAGAAATGATTTGAAAATGAATAAAAAATTTCCTCTTCTTCCCTCAAATCTATTTGCTTTCTGAGAAAAATGTAGAATTTCTTTGCAACTCAATTCAACTGTGGGGAAATGGGTCTGAACTTGAAAAAAATATATATATATTCATTACCAAATCATTTTTTATTTTTCTAGTGAAGTAAAACATATTAACAGTATTGCTTTTAATTCCATGTTGTTTATTGAAGAGGAAAACATGAATTGCTTGCTGGGTTTGTCTCTCTCTCAGTTCGTCTCTCTGTTGGTTAGGTGAGGAACAAAACAAAGCAAATGACAGAGAAGAGGAAAAGAGGGGGGACACCCCAAAAAAAAAGGGGGGGTAAACAAAACGACGTCGTTTTGTTGTACCGCATGAATCATGGTAGGAAACCATGACAGAGGATCTGGACTCCCTTCTATACGTTTAAGAAAAAAATAATTGTAATTAAAAGATTATCCATCATTTTTTTTTTTGGACATAAAATTTAGTTACATATATGACAAAGTTTACAATAAAAAAAAAATAGTTAAAAATCAAAACAAAAGTATTAAATAAAAAATAAATAATTTGTAACAAAATATCACTTAAACACCACCTTTCCCGCATTTTTAGTTGTAAAATTGCTAATCAAATTTACATAATTCAACTTATTAACTAAATATTTTTCAATGGATAAAATTAGTGATCCATTCAATCTTTGTTGTGACATAAGTAAGATTTGTTCAATTTCAATTTTGATTTTTTTTTCTCTAGAAACAATTATAACTGACATAATTAATCATATTCTAAACACAATTCATAAATTTGAGAAACAATCATCTATTAATTTCAAATAACTCATCAAATCAATAGACTTTTTGAATTTTTTTTTTTTTTTGAAATAAAATCAATCATCTATTAATTTTAAACAATCATCTTTTTCACTTATTAGTTTTGAATCTTCATTAAATTTTGTCGGGATCTTTTAAATTTAGATGATTTTTTTTATTGATTAATATAATAATTAAAACTATTTTAAAATATTTTTTAATTAATTTCCGGGGCCCAAATTAGGCGAAAGCCGGTCCTGCCTAGACAAAATCATCTCTTACCAAAGACAGTCAACAAAGTTGCACAATCCCGAGAGCCGCCTATGACCTTTTTTTAATAAATTTTTGTATGTTACTTTTTTTTTATTCATCAAAGTGTATGACAAGTTATTATATATTTTATTAATTTTAAAATAATTATTTTTAAACAAAAAAAAGGGTCTTCTTCCAGTGTTGCAAGACAAAATAGAAATCCATGGTATATATCATTTTTTGTCCCCAATGTTGGCTCAAAGAAAATTCTCACACTTCTTTGAAACCACCTAATAAAAACCACCCATGAATTTCTAGTTCTCTACTTTTATGAACATTTTGAGAAAAGCAAAAGAGAAGAGTAATGGAAGGAGAGATCAACAACTTCATAGTGGTATGGATCATAGTCTTTGCTTCCCTATGTTACTGTCACACCATAGGTAAGTTTATCCCCAAAGGTACAACTAGACTCTTTGCTATTCTTCCTATCATTTGCCTCTTTCTCTACCTCCCTCTCAATCTCACCACCATCCACCTTGGAGCCACCACTGCTTTCTTCATAGCATGGCTTGGCAACTTCAAGCTCCTCCTCTTTGCCTTTGGAAAACCACCTCTCTCCTCCAACCGACCAATCTCTTTGCCACTTTTCATCCTTTTTTCTACCTTACCCATCAAGGTTCAAGAATCAGATCTTCTGTCCCACTCTCCTAAATCACTGGCAAAGAACATGATTTGTCTCTCTGACTCTGATCAGGTAACAAATAAAGGGTTTGGGACAGGAGAAAATCGGACAGAAGATCAGAAATCTCTAAACACACAAATAAAGGCATTCCCATCTCACCAAACCACCAAAAAGAGCAATAAATCACCTTTAAACTATGCTACAAAGATCATGATTGTAGCTGTGCTTGTGCAAGTGTACAAGTACAAAGACCATATTCATCCCAAGATCATCTTGGTGCTTTATTGCTTCCACATTTACTTCATGCTTGAGCTAGTGCTAGCCATGATGGCAGCCCTGGCTAGAGCCTTGGCTCGGTTAGAGCTCGAGCCACAGTTCGATGAACCATACCTCTCTACCTCACTCCAAGACTTTTGGGGCAAGAGGTGGAACCTCATGGTAACCAGTATCCTGCGCCCCACCGTATACGATCCTGTCCGCTCGATTTCGGCCCGTCTGATAGGACGAAAGTGGGCCCCACTTCCAGCAGTACTGGCAACATTTATTGTGTCTGGGGTGATGCATGAATTGATCTTTTATTATACTGGAAGATTAAAACCCACATGGGAGGTGAGTTGTTTCTTTCTCATCCATGGGGTGTGTTTGGCTGCCGAAATTGGGATTAAAAAAGCGTTAAAGGGACAATTCAAGGTCCCGGCGGTGGTGTCTGGGCCGGCGGCGCTGGCATTCGTGGTGGTTACCGGTTTGTGGCTCTTCTTCCCGCCGGTTTTACGGTTTAATGCCGATGTTATGGCTAAGAGAGAGACTGCTGCATTTGTAGAGTTTTTGAAGGATGTTTTTGGTAGAGTCCCTAGATTTGGATCTTTCAATCTAATTAGTTCATAGATTACAATATAATTCATCAAATCAACTAATAATAAAATTGTTTCGATTTTGTTTTCTTGTTTGTAATGATATTTGGCATTGGCATTGGCATTGGTATTAGAAAAATTAACATATACAATTTTAAGTGCGTCCCAAGTTGAAGGATAAATCACATATGCATTTGTTGTGGCGTATTATTTGGTACCCTTTAATTATCTTTCAATCTAATTAGTTCATAGATTACAATATAATTCATCAAATCAACTAATAATAAAATTGTTTTGATTTTGTTTTCTTGTTTGTAATGATATTTGGCATTGGCATTGGTATTAGAAAAATTAACATATACAATTTTAAGTGCGTCCCAAGTTGAAGGATAAATCACATATGCATTTATTGTGTCGTATTATTTGGTACCCTTTAATTATTGTTTTTAGCATTATTATTTATAATTCAGACATATGTTGACTTCAAAACGTTAAAAAACTTTAGAATGATAAAAAACTATTAGATTGTGTATTGAAAGAAAGAATTGAAATTAAACAATCATGCTTGTCTTCTAGTGTAACAAGTGCTTAGGGTCAATGTAAACATATTAAATGGAAGAGATTATGATAATTGAGAATAAATAATCATCCCCAGTCTTCTATAGTAATAAATGCTTAAGGTCAATTTAAATAAACGGTAGAGATTATGTTCCTGAATGTTTTAAACAAAAGTGTCATGATCAACCTAAAATATTTTTGAATGTATCCTGTTAGCAATTTCTTAGCAGGGAAACTTTTAACTTTATTTAATTCAATTTAAAAATTAAATGCAACCTTCTCACATATGAAGTCTTATAAATTGGTAGACACATCACATGCAGGAGAATTGTATTCAAATTTATCATCAGATTATATACACATAAAGAAGGTATTTTAACAATGGACACAATTTGTCTCTAGTCTATCTTATGGACTGGACTGTGCTATTTCGGCATGCAGGGCTCTCCATAAGTTCTGTCTAAATGATCCAAACTGTTCATTTTCTTGGCCACAACATGTAGATCATTTGTAAAAAAATCAAGTCGATCTAATAACCGTAATCACCTTAGTTTATTGTTTCTCAAAAAATAGATAGTTTACTGTTGAGGATCATAGCTCAGGCAGAGGCAGCATCTCAAGCAGCTTAGGCTGCAGAGGCAACAGCTCAAACATCTGCTGCAGAAGCAGCTTAGACTGTAGCTCACAACTCAACTTACCTGAGTCATCAGCTAAGATATTTTCTTGTATCTGTTAGAGTTAGTTACAAGAGTTTGTTAGATCAGTTATAGTGTTGGTTAGGCTCATTATATATAAGTATGACAAATGTATTCAGAATAATTCAATTGAGTATGAGATATGATTTGAGCACAAATTCTTTATGGTATCAAAGCTTTGAGCTCTAACGAGCAACTTCATCATGGCATCACCATCACCATTATCTTTTTCGTTTCCTTCAAATTTGAGTCTGTTGATCTCCAACTTGTCATCCTTTGTGACAGCAAAACTTGATGGATCGAATTTCATCATCTGGCATACACAGATCTCAAAAATTCTCCGAGCAACCAATCTTATTGGTTCTGTGGATGGATTAATCACATATCTTTCATCTATAATCACTGATTTAACAGGTGGTGTAGTTCCTAATCCAAAATTTCTTCAATGGACCATGATTCATACACACTTGCTAAGTTGCATCACTGCAACTCTTACACCTGTGATCTACTCTTCTATTCTTCAATTTCATCATTGTTCTGAGGTTTGGACTTCGTTGCAGAAGTGTTTTACATCTCTGTCTCGATCACATGTGCATCAATTGAAGAATAAACTGAATAGTGTTGTCAAGAAGTCCAATACAATGGAAGAATATCTGTCAAAGATCAAGGTCATAGTCAGTCAGTTAGCTCTGGCTTCTGTTTTCATAAATGATGAAGATTTGGTCTTTATTACTCTGAATGGTCTTCCATCTGAGTACGATGCTTTTTCTACTACTATTCATGCTCGACCAGATCTCATTACCATGGAAGATCTCTCATCTTTGTTATGTTCTAAGGCTCTTCATTTAGAATCCAAGCATAAGAAATCTGCGGAACCAACTGTAGCATTTTCTACAGTTAAAGGATCGTCGATTTGATTCTAGAGGAGAAAGAGGTGGTCGTACCTATAATCAAGGTAATTACAGAGGTTATGGTAATCAAGGTAGTTACAGAGGTTATGGATCTTCCAGAGGATCTGGTGGTAGATTTGGTTTATCTCGCGGCAGAGACAGATCCAATCAGGTTTAGTTTTGTCAAATCTGCGGAGGATCCAATCATTCAGCCCTAGAGTGTTGGCATCGCATGGATCCTCAGTTTCAACCTTCATAATCAAACCATCTCCATCACCAACAACAACCGAGAGTTTTTGTTACTGCTTCATCTGCTTCTATGTCTCATTTATCTTCTTCTGTTCCCATTCCTTGGTACCTGGATTCTATAGCAACAGATCACATGACCAATGATCTTAGTCATTTCAGTTGTTATCAGCCCTATCAAGGATCTGATCAAATTACTATAGGCGATGGTAATACTATTCCTATTCAAAATACTGGTAAAGGTCTTCTCCTCACTCATTATCATATCTTTAAGCTTAATAATGTTTTTCATACAGATGCTTTATCTTCTAACCTTGTCTCTGTTCGAAAACTGGCTCAAGATAACAATTGCATTATTAGTTTTGATGACACTCATTTTCTGATTCAGGACAAGTTTATGAAGAAAGTGCTTCACAAAGGCTCTAATCTTCATAGCTTGCATCATTTCTTCTTATCTACTGCTCATATTACTCATTCTCCTTCTACAGCAGCTCCTACCAGTTTAGCTACTCAAGTGCTTTCTAGTTTTTTATTACATCTAGTACTGTATGGCATAATAAGCTAGGTTATCCTAGTATTTTGAAATTTAAACATCTTAGGCCACATTTACATCTAAAAACTTCTACTTCTGTAAATCTTCAAAACTGTGTTGATTGTTGTGTTGTAAAGAATCATATATTACCTTTTCATCTGTCTAATTCCACTATTAATGAATCTCTTGCTTTAATACACAGTGATGTTTGGGGCCCCTTTGCCTCCACTTCTGGTTAAAAGTATTATGTTCTTTTTGTGGATGATTTTAGCATATTCACTTGGTTATATCCATTGTCTTACAAAAGTGAGGTGTATGATAAATTCTTTGCTTTCAAAGCTTATGTAGAGAAACAATTTTCTACATTACTTAAGATTTTTAGAACAGATGGTGGCACATAATTTTTTAATAACAAAATGAAGACATTCGTTGTATCTCAAGGCATTGTTCATCAACACTCATGTCTCTATACACCATCTCAAAATGGTGTAGCTGAACGCAAACATAGGCATCTCACTAAAGTTGCCATTGCTTTACTCAATCATTGTTCTGTTCCTATCCATTACAGGTTTGATGCCATTTCTTGTGCTACCTATCTCATTAATAGACTACCTTCTTCTAAATTGGCTTACAAAACACCTTTTGAAACCTTATTTCATCATCTTCCAGATTTTTCTATTCTCAAGGTGTTTGGTTGCCAATGTTTTCCTTGGATCAAGCCTTATACCTCTAGTAAATTACAGCCCAAATCAGTTGAGTGTGTTTTCTTAGGCTATCATGCTTTTGCCAAAGGATATAAGTGTCTTGACCAAAAACTGGCACCATTGATCTCTCAAGACATGTGTTGTTTAATGAGCAAGTGTTTCCTTTTTCTCACTTGTCTGTTTTCTCTTCTTTTTCTTCTTCTTCTTCTTCTTCTTCTTCTTCTTCTTCTTCTCAATTGCCTTTCCTTCAGTCTTTCTTCTGGTCTTCTCAATCTCTTTCATTTCCATCTGTTTTTGCTTCTCCCAGCAATTTTGTTGTTGTGTCTACTCCTTTCAGCAATTCTGCTACTATGCCTCTCAGTACTTTTCCTCTCAGAACTTCTGTTTCTGCTCCTCAGCCATTCTGCTGATGTGCCTGCTCCTCTCAGCAATTCTGCTGTTGTGTCTCTTAGTTCTTCTCCATCTTAGTCTTCTATACCTCTTCTTTCTTCAACACCTCAGTCTTCCATTCCTATTCACTCTATTTCCATTCAATTACCTAAGTTATCTATTCCTCCTTCCTCTGGTTCAGTTCCTTCTGTTCCTTTTTCCTTTAACTGTCATCCTATGGTTACTAGATCTAAAGCTGCCTTGTTGTCGCGACCCAAACCCGCCCCTATGGGTTTAGCACCGTAACTGGCCAGTAATCCAAGATTACTGAAGGCCTGCTTAACAGTAATACAGTAATACAGAGTACAGGGGCTGGCGGAAGCCAATACAGTAAATAAACAATGTCCAATGAGCTGTGACGGTCTATATGCAAAAAGACTTTTCATTCAATATATACAGTCGAACAAAACAGTATGTACATATATACAATCATTCAGTTCAAGGACCTAACCCCTATTAAACAGTACAGTAGCAGTCTATACAGTCGTACAAAACAGATACAGAGATAGACGGGGAAATTAAAAACACCCCTAAGCCGTAGCTTGACAGGCTCGGAACCTCGCATTGACGCACATAGGTTGGCTTGACAAAACTAGAGTTTACCCCGACGCTTCTAGCTGCGGTCTGGTGCATGTACACCTACATATATATATGAGTAGTGAGCTAAAGCCCAGTAAATAACACAATGCGTAAAGGGGTTAAGAATGAATATCCTTACAGTAATGAAAACAGTTCATTAAATCAATTTCAGTCGTTCAGTCAGTACAGTCATATGTGGTACATCCATTAGCATAACAGTACAGTAAACAGTAAGTCTTAAAAGACCGAACAGTAAATGATGGCCATCAATCAGTAAACAGTAGTGGTTCCAACAAGGGAACCGACAGAGATCTCTGTAACAGTAACAGTAAACAGTAGGTGCTAAGGATGCCACAATACAGTTCAGAATATAGGACATACATTCATTCAATTAACAGTAACAGTTCAGAAAGCAGTACAGTTCAATTGTTCAGAAGATAATCATTTTGAACATATCTTTACACAGTTGCTACTCACAGAGTTCTGGGCTACAGTAAAGCTAGAGCGCGTCCCCAGTCGCCAACCCTACACAGTTACAGATTGAACACACACTAGCTACACAGTTGGGAAAGATAATAAACTTAATTCCTAATTTTGCCTCGGTGTGGTTCTACATCTATATCTTCATTAAGATGCCTTAAACTAGGTCTAGGAATGCCTAGGATGAGATGAGGATGCAAAGATGCACTTTAAAAGCATTTTCAGAATTTTCAGAAAACAGGGGTCACGCTCGAGCGTAGGTTACTCC